ACATCCGCATGAAGGAGCAGTGCAAGACGGCCATCGACCGCCTGCAGCACTACGCCGTCCGCCTGCATACCTCCTTCGTCATCTCCGTCTGCTGCAGACCGGCGCTGCGGCGGGACTGCACCAAGCTTACGCCCGAGCAGAAGCGCCACCTGTCCGACAAGTGCCAACATAACCTCGCCGAGACGGTGCGCATGTTCCTCGCCATGCACCAGCTCTCCGTCATCCCTACTCGCAGCTGGGCCTTCACCTACCACGGCCTCTCGTCGGCGCTCCTCCTCGGCATCCTCGGCGAGACCAAGAACAGTCCCGAGGTGCGGCAGCTGCAGGGCGACCTCATTGCGGCGCTGTCTGCGACGGCCGCGAAGGAGGCCACCTCACCAGCGGAGCACATCCCTAAGACGGACAAGGACATTGAGCTGTCTGGCCCGTTGTGGAGGGCCCTGACTGCGCTGCGGAACATCTACGAGCACGGCACAATCATGGGCACGTCGCAGAAGAAGGACTCGGACTCGAGCGGCACGGGGAGCGGGGCCAGGACGCCGCTGCCGCCGATGCTCATGGGCCCGATGGGGGCAAACGGCAACGGCAACGGCAGCGTCAACAAGGCTTTCGGCATGGACCCCCACCAGGACGCCGCGCTGGCCATGGCGGAGATGCAGAATGGTACTACCATGGCGGAGTACAACCCCAAGTATGTTGCTCCTTTTTGTCGCAGTAAGATTATTGCTAACCGGCTTAGCAGCATGACTTACCCTCCCGTCATGGAGGGCCTTCCCAATATGGACCCGTCGACGTACATGTCGCCGATGGACTTGTACGAATCGATTTGGTGGGGTATGTCATCCTCCCCTTTCTCCTCCCACGACGTTTCCGTGAGCTGACAGCTGGGGCAGAATCACCCGACCCTTGGAACTCGGGCGTCGACACCATGAACTTTGATTTTGTAGCCCAACCACCGCCGGGCCAACCCCAACAACAATTCTACTTCTAAAGAGAAAGAAACAAGCACCTTTTCACCTAAATGATAGCTCATCAAAGGCAACAAGGAAAGCCGAGGCAACTTCGGCACATCTGGCCTAATACTGAGTTGGAGACGGTCTGAAATCTAGGGGCGGGGGCGCTTTTTATGGTTGGATTGTACTAGGAGGACGGTGCAAAAGGTGGATTCTGGCGCTGCCGCTTCTGATCCGACTTCATTGGGAGGATGCAGAGGGGGGACTGTTGATATTAAACCATCTGAAGGTGTATTTTAATCGAGTGACGTGTCACGATTTGATGGAGGCGATTTTGACTTGATCGTGGGAGGGCATAGTGCTTTCGGTGTCATTGGTGTACCGTGTAAGGTTCATAGTTGTCAATGTATTGGAACATTGGATCTTTGCCGATTTTGGTTGACGATTTTCGTGATTAGACTGTTGATTATCATGTGCTTTCGAGGATGGTTGAGGATAGAGACGTAGCCGAAGGGGCGATTCCCGTATGGGAGAGGCACAGTGGGACCCAAACGCTGAGACAAACGACGTGGTTAGCAATGAATCCAGTTTGTACATAGGTAGTAGTAAGTAAGTAAGCCTTCAAAAGGAGATGATCTAATCTTCTGTGCTAGAGCAACTACTTTTCGCATGGGCACATGCCTTATTCTGGTTTATTGCCGTCGTTGTGGTCATCATCATCGGCATCGTCGTTATCGTTGTTATTACTATTATTATCGTCATTATCATCGTTGTTATTAACGTCGTTCTCATTTTCTGTAATACAGTTATCTGAAAACTGAGGAAATATAGCCGTCTACACACCAGAGAAATCGGCGACATCTTCACGAAGCCGGTTTCCAGCTATTTAAGATTAAGTCCTTAGCAGCTATTGAGAATTTGAACGAGTCCCTCTTTAGTTTGCTGGTTGGCGATGATGAATACTGAGACTGAAACTATCACTATTCTATTAGGACTATCTAGCAGAGGCTGTAAGGAAGGAGAGCAGAAATAAAGGAGCAGCGTGGTTATACATAAAGCGCACGTATATATATATATATATATGTGTGTGTGTGTGTATGTGTGTGTATGTTTATTAGTTTACGCCGTTGCGTCCCTGTTACTAAGGGCAAAGAACGTCCAGCAGTAAACCTATCGAACAAGAATAAATATAAGAAAGTATGAGAAACCATGAAGCAAGATGACAAGTGAATGTGTAGACGAGCGGAGCAGGTCACACATCGCTAGGAAGGGGCAGATATCATTAATTTATCTTTTAACCTCTCACTGCAGTTGCCCTCTGTGAGCCTTCACCCTGTGTCACGCTCCTATTGACAATTTTGGCCACGATGTAATAGTGGTCTCAACCTATGCGTCCCTCGCCAGCGTCAGGATGCAACCCAACCTTATCGTCGCCGTTGAAGACGGCATCTTCACCGACACCGACGCAATCGATTTCAAGCCCGCCAAGCACTGGGCCACATGGCTTTTGCGTAACTATCTCACTCTTGTTTCCTTTTCAAGGCTTCGTGTTTCTGGAAAGCTGCTTGTAACTCTGGGAGTTCGTTGTAAACCCAACTAGATTTGATGTATTCCGCCGATCTGCTGTTATAGTAGTGACGGAACACATTATCCATGTCCGTTCTCGCCAGTGCCTGAGCCATTCTCAGAATGCTGTCCCGTCGTTGAGCGAGGTACTGGCTATATGTCGTTATTTCTTCGTCAGCAGACATGTCGTGTACTGTACTGTCTGGTAGGGTGAGGCATCCGCCCTCATGAGGGTCTAATTTGATCATGCACACGAAGACCATGACATGGCACCCCATGAGATTCTCATAAGGTTGCTCTGAGGCGCCATGTGCCACCAATGTCTCCATGATTCTGGCCGTGCGGTGTAAAGTCCCTTCCCACGTGCCTTTCGTGAGAATCTGACTGAGAAGCTTCCCAGGACCCAAGGTTATATACAGTGCTGAGTTTCCATCTATCAGCTGGCTTTCAAGGAGACCAAGAAAATCAGGATAGGCGATGCTGTGCGGGTATTTTGGGTCTCCGAACGGGATATGAAGAGCGAGGGAGCGATCGAAGCGGAGAAGGACGGTCGTCTTCTGATGCTGCACGGGCCCGCTGCCATACGTGAATCTTTCGTACATGAAACATTTATGGAGAGCCAAGCGCTCTTCAATGGATCTCACCAGACCGTTGTTCAGAAGCCATTCGAGATTGTACGCACTCACTCCGTGATCGTACCATACATTTTCTAAAAGATCATGTACAAGCTCGCCATGATCAATAGCATTATTACCTTTCAGTGGTAAGATCGACGCAGCCGAGTTGAGCGCTTCCAGCATACGCTGGATGCTACATGACCAAGATGATGTGGGATCCCGTTGCAAAGCTGCGTATATATATTCCAGTGGGCGGTCGTACCTTGTCAGTGAAGGTACCGCTTTGAAAAGCTTCTCGATGAGACTCAGTCGACCTCGTCCAGCAGCGTCGCATACAGCCCTAGGAAGGCATCGATCTTCATGACGAAGGCAATTCTCGACGGCGAAGATGATGGTGTCGTCGGCTGCTTCCTCATACAGCAATACTCTCAAAAAGTCGCGACCGTTGACTTTGTTGTCCGCATTACCGAAGATTGTACGTCGACGAGCCTCCTCCTCCAACACAAAACGCAACATTGTTTCATGACGGGCATAGTACAATGGGTTTCGAGCCGAGTCTGGCAAGGGGCAAGGGGGTAGGTAGTGACAGGGCCAAGAAGGCAAGTCGTCAAGCGTAGCTCCTCTTGAAATCAGCAATCGGACGGCGTCGAGCTGGCCTGAAAGCATGCTCAGTCCAATCATAGGAAGGTGTTTTCGCTGATGTCGCGATCTCCTCCTACTATAGTAGATTCCGTGGTCTGGATCTCGCTGACTTTTACACGCTCGCTCACTCGTATACGCACGCAGACTGGGCTTCATTCCGAGATCCATGCATCTTCTCATGACGTCGAGACGTCCGGTTTCGCAGGCCCAGCCAAATGCAACACTATCTCCTCGTGCAACGGCGTTAGCTACGAGGCGGACGCCAAGGATCGAGTTAAATCGATGCGAAGCCAACATCCAATTGAGATGATCTTTTGGAGCCAGGAAGGAAGAAGTAAAGTGCAGAAGCTCGTTGGGAAGGTCTGCGATCGCCGGACCACGCATGGTGATAATCTTGACTGCGTCCATACCGTGGAGGACTAGGGTTTTTGGGTGTTCGGATCGACCTGGTGGCGATTTCAAGGTGGGAGAAGACGTTCCTGGAGAGGCCTTGTGAATTGTATCGAAAGTAGGAGAAAAGGTGCGGTGTGTTGTAACGAAATTGGAACTGGATCTTCCATGAGTCCAGACGGATTTGTGCATGTAGAAACAGTAGAGGAGGCCGAGAGCTTAAGTTTCGGAGCGTAAAAAATTTAGATGCCGCAAGGGGGAAAAAAAGAAAAAGAAAAAAAGTCTGGAATCTGCACCATTTTAAGAATCAAATTCGTACATTAAGGTTCACATATTCTTTTGGTTACGCAAGACCGTCTCTTAGGGCTCAACAAGGTATGGATCTCACAAGGTGACCAACACGTGGGAAGCGAACTAGTTGGAAACTCTGTAAGAAAGCATTGATAATGAATGCAGCCTTTTGATTTTGCCTAGACTGGAAAATGAGACTAATGTAGATTCATTCATGGAGACTACGAGGATGATGACCCCGCGGTCACGAGGACAAAACGAGAAAGACGACAGATAGTATTGACGGCGGAAACGCTTGAAATAACATTAAGGGGCATTCAGTATAGTAGGGATAGTGAAAAGAAATTATCAAGATAGCGCAGATCGATATTAGGGGCTCACTACCAAGCTAGCGGAAATTCAACTGCAACGTTTGACTCTGCTTCAGGTCTCGATAGTTGCCCATATATTTCAAGTATCAGCAGCAAAGTATCAACAGCAAGTAGGCGTTGGCATTCTGCTCCGGTCGTGCTGAGCTTCAAAAAAGCAGCAAAAAGGATATCTCTCCCGCCCGGAATCGAACCAGGGGCGCGTGCGCGACAAGCACGCATGTTACCACTACACCACGAGAGATAATTGTCTTGTTGATTGTTGAAAATGATGGGATGGGAGAGGTGTATGAATCTTCGGTGTGGTGACTCATTGTTCTGAGGGTGATGTGCCAGACAGGTTGATGACTGTCAAGGTTGCCTGATGCTTCGGCCCAATGTCGCTTATTTGCGGGTGCCCTTGCTACTCCCAAAGTTCATCCTCAGACCGAGAAGGGCTTTGGATGGTTATAAGATCACCAGAAGGGAGCTGTCTCAAGATGCCCTTCATCGGCCATGATTCCTCGGAGACAACCGATGATGGAACGCTTTCATCTCCACAAACGATTGCAGGCATGCTATAGTCTCTGGCATGACATTCCAAATAGGACCTATAAACACCAGAGATCTCTAAAATAGTGATATGTTCACTTTGAACCGTCACGTAGATGCAATAAATACAACATTGTATCAATATGAGATTCTACATCCTCTCTATCTTCATATCCCTCTGCGGCCTGTCCGCTGCCCAAAGCGCTCTACCCGAAGCGCTCGCGGCAACTGTCTCAGAGATGAATTATCCCTACGCAGCCTTTTAACGCATCAATCCAAGGATGAAAACAGAATTGATAAAGGACAGCGATTGCTGCGTTTGCCCAAGGTTAGAGTGGAATGGCTGACTGCTACAGCTACTTGGTACTCACCGTCTTCGAACCCGCGTAAGCCTCTCCCACCAGCATGTCTAAGCTCTGAAGAACCTGACTGAGAATGATTCTGTGACCAAGGACTGCAACCGAAGTAACACTTCCAACCACCGTGCTCGTCACCTCAACCCTCACCGTGCAGCGCGGCGCACTTCCGTTCACCTCGGCCGTGATGCCGGAAAATGTCCCAAAGCCCGTGAAAAGACAAGCGTCGGCGCCGCAGAGCATCCAAGTTTACGCGTCTGCATGCAGAGGATTGTGCCCATATTGGATTGGGAATCAGAGCTCCCATATTGGTGAGCAGAAAGACTGGGGATACAAAGCGGCCTGTTTGGTGAAGCAGGCGTTTAGTATCACTATGGCTGACGGGCAGCGCTTCCGTCTCGCGTCTTATCATGTAGAGCAACACCCAACCTCCTCACCCATGCTTCTGGAGCCTGGCATAGACCCTAAATGAAGACACTTTTCACCGCCACGGCATCTTTACACTGCATGCTACTCTCAAGGCGACTACTTAAGAGTCAACGACTAATCATATTCCATGGACTTTCGCAGCAGTGAGGAAATCTAGCCATACCTAGTTATTCAACCACGGTATCATATCGGATTCGAATGTCTTGAATGGGAAGAGCGATAGCTATCATGATTTCGTCTAGGACATCGCCAATTCGCCAGCGTCCCATCTCCACCATGTCCCATTCGGCCTGCGAGACTTTCTCGATTGGAAAACGTGTCTGAGTTATGAAGAGATCTTACTGAAAGTGAAAAATTGCGGCCACCCATAAGAAAGATGCGAATGGCACCAGAAAGACAGATTATGACACTAAAATTGCTCTGTATTTTGAACTGCAATCTCTCATGGGACGGCATGAGTAAGACTTCACTGGATTTAGAGGAAAGGAGGCAGCCTCAGGGTTGCCACACAATTCGCGAGGATTCTGTGGGCTCCGGAAGCAAGACAATACGTTGCAGCTGCAGTTGTGAATAATCAATCCATCATATTCTCTCATGACAGCCCCGCCACCATCTACCCTTGCGCGTATGTGTCCATCTATACAAGACTCAGATCCTGTCACAGGCTAGGGCCCAATTGAGATCTCCGGCCTTGCCGAAGCATCGCTTCCCGACCTCCGGTCCCACCGGGCGTTGGGGGCCTGAGAGATTCCTGCCCTCTCATTAGCTCAATTCGCCGCATCCGGTCCGGGCGGTAAGCGGGGCAGTAGCGAGAACTCTGGGACATCTCACGGGACCTCGTGCCAGAGTTGTGTCGAGGCTATCACGAGTCATGACGAGCCCCTTTTCTTGTAGCGAAGCGCTGCGCAGGCAGCGCATCCCTCCTTTCTTGATCTTTGTGCTACGTTTTGTATCCTATGAGAACCAAATCTATCCATTGGATCACTCACAGGACCTGAAACCCTCACAGAAGACAACAAAAGCGCAGGTCTGATATTAGAAAGTCTCACAGGAAGTCACTGGAGTTGGAGCTTTCTAAGTTTCGAGATTCGCTCAGCGCTCTGTCTGTGGCACAGATTTGTATGCATTGATTCATTGTAAACCTAAGCTATAGATGGCTCCGGCGGCTAGCAGCAATAATCTGTCAACATTTTTTACATCAATGCAAATGTCCTGTCACAGACGCTCGACGCCCAAATATCAACCGTCATTCTCGCATAAATGAGAACATCTTCAGCGGGCGTGAAATCTTGCGGTGTTGTTTTCGTTCAGCCAAATGCAAGTTGCAGTCCCTGCAAGATGCCCTGTCTTAGTAACAATATCCACCAGCCCCTGGGTCTTCAGGTGTAGCTTTGCAACAAGCAAGTCGAGTTCCGGGGCACTTGGCCCTGCCGTCATCGTAGAAACAGCTGCGAGAGGATGCGCACTTGCAACGCGTCAGATAACATCGCGGTTAGGTGGGTGACTTTTACTTACATCCCATGCCTCACAGTTAGAGGGCGGGGGCTTGCAGTACTGTCCCAATACTGACAAGGGGGACAGGACGAGTATCAGAGTGACGAATTTCATTGTGTTCTGATAGGAGGGAGTGAGACTGTTAGGGAGAGTTCAGCAAGATTAGACTGACGGGTGGCGCGGGTCTCTGTTGCCTTTAACGAGCGGCAAGTGATGGACGGCGCGACACTGTCACCTTTTATACAGAAAATACGTTAAGAGAAGGGTGAAGGCTGTGGTTGATTGCTTCCGATCGTGCGACATTACTAATTTAAGAGACGGAGAAAACAAGGTTTTTACCATAAAGTAAAATAAAGTGCTTTCTGCGGAACAATACTGTCGATCAGTTGATTATTAACTATTGATTATTAACTACTAATTGAAACTCCCGCTCTATGCTATTGCGTACTGCGCAGAGTTGCCCAGCCTATTAGCCCCAACCGCCATATTAGACGTTTGTTCTGCTTCCTGCTGATAGAGACTACCTGTAGGTAGGTTTAGTCGCGGAAAGTAAGTTACAATGCTGTGCCGTCCACCAGGAGCAACTATAGCTAATGCGTCATGAAGAGCACGCTGCTCAACTCAACAGTTGCGTTCAGACAGGAGTCAAGTCGATCAACACTGTAAACATTCACCCCCTCAACCTGCCAGACGCGAGACCCATTCACTATTGCCAATATGAGAGTGACGGTCCTCCGTAGAATCAAGACGCACGTAGACCGCGCCATCCAACAAAGCAGCAACAAACATATCCGCAAAACCAAGGCGGTATCTGCCAATTAATTCAACGGCCGCGGCCTAAGCATCAAGACAGCTATAACGAAGTGCATCAAGGTCCTCTGCAAGTTTGCTAACGACTGAGAACGCCACATCGGGAACGACGCTGCAGTGCAGACCCCAACCTACAGATTGCTAGCGCAAAGCATTATAACCCGCTCAATAAACATAGATCGCCAGAACAAGAAAGCCGTCATCTCTACAGCACAAATCAAGTACCTAGGCCGCTGATCGTTCAACCAGCAAAAAGACTGCATCATTAGTGGCCGTGGAGCTCTCTTAAGGGCAAAAAGGCTAACAAACTGATTCACGAAAGATTCATCCAGACAGTGTCGTTTGAGGCAGTGTTTCAATTGCAACGCATACAGTCTCACAGGAACCTAGTGTAAGGCAACGATAACATATACCTACTCTACGTAAGAACGTGCCACCCAAGACTCCCCTTTGAAAAACGATATAACAACGTCGAGGAGATGGGCCGCATGCCACGGCGAACACGAAGCAGGCCACGGCAGGTAACCCACCGGGATACGCAAGAAGGCCAAGATCAAATCCGCATGCGAAGAACTTACAACGTGAGAAATCTCTAGCATACCTTCATGATAGCGATCCTTAGCACAGGCCCAAAGGTTTGGGAAATACTTTCTATAAGAACTCATAAAAGTACATCATGAGGTATTACAATATGTGCGGCTCGCTTTGCTAGTGAAGAAGACAAAGGAGCTCCGAGCAAAATAACTACCACAAAAGCGTCCCAAGAGCAACTCCTACAACAGCAGCACCCGCCACAATCTTCCCTCGCGGCGCATCCCTCCCAGCAGCAGAGTCGGCCGTCGAGGTACTGCTTGCACTTCCCGTAGTCACAACCGAAGACGCACCCTCCGTCTTGGTCCCCGTCGCAGTTCCAGTCGTCGCCTCTGTCGCAGTTCCCGTCGTTACCGCTCCCGTCCCCGTCGCCACAGCCTCGGAACTTCCAACAGTGGCAGTGACCGTCACCGTCTGCGTGGGATACGGCGAGACCTTCGTGCTCAACTTGATCCCGCAGACCGCCTCAGTATTGAAAGTGAATGGCATGTTCCTGGCCTCGCATCCGGAGGTCTGGCGCTGAATCGAGTCTTAACCGGGTCAGTAATCGAAACATTAACAAAGCCGAATCTGTGACTCACCAGGCAGGACCGAAGCATCACACTTCTCAGCCATACAGCAAAAGTACCTCTCCCGGTATTTCTGCTGGGTACACATGCACGCTGCGTCGTTGGTGCAGGAGCCGCCGGGGAAACTTCCAAAGAAGCATCCGTTCTACAAATAAATGGTCGTTAGTTCCCGATCCGAGAGTGGACTCTGATGCGGAAGGAAGGCCGACGCACATCGCATTCCGCGTCGCGGTTCTGCTTCTCCTGGTCAAAAGGCGTTGCGGCGACGAGACTGCCGCCTACAAGGCCCAGCAAGATGACGACGCTAAACTGCGGCATAGCGAGTGTCTATTTCAAACGAGTGACGATAGCGAGTGACTGTGCGATGAAGAAACTTATCCATCAAAACAAAACCTGTCCGGCCCCTGGCCCCCTTTTTAAGCCAAGATGTCGCGACAAAGGCAAACTTTTCTCGTGTTGCTGTG